TATTGATGACTATATAATGAAATGATACTTTTATTTTTATACTGATTTTGGAAATGTAAGTTTGGCAATATGTTTATACCTCTGACCAGTAATTAGTCTAGGGATTTCTTGTGAGAAAACTTATCAGATAGATGTACACAGTGATCGATGGTTGTACAGGTGTGTGTGGGGTCCTCAAGGAAGAGCCAGGAGTGTTAGAGATTGACTGGAGGGGGGGCGGGCGCATGGGGCGGGGGAGGGTAACGCCCTGGAGGAGAAAGGGGAGGAAGCAGAATCCACAGAGAGACCCTCAGAGGCCATGCGGATCCAGCAGAGTCTGGGCCAGCCCAGTGCCTGCCAGGGCAGCCTGCGTGGGGCAGAAGAGCCCAGGTCCTGACACCGCACTGCGCTCAGGCCTCGGCTAAGGCTGCCTGGGAAGGTGTGGTGTGGGTCCAGTCCTGCAGGCCCAGCTGCTGGAGGCCATCATCTCATTGCATCCTGTGTAGCCGAGGGCAGTTCTTGTTGGAGGGACATCTGTGGGGCACACCGTTTGGCTGCCACGGAGGAGTGTTCATGGTAGTGTTATTAAAGTGACACAATTAGAAAGGGTTTTTTTTTCCTGTAATAAACATAAAATACTCCTTTTCTAATTAAGTGGGGGAAAGTAATTTCAAAATAAGATTGCATTTGTATCTAAAGCAGCTACATACACATTACTGTAAGGGTTTCTTTTGAGCTTAAAATCCCTAACTCTTTTTCATATGAATTACTCTCAAGAATTTTCCCATCTTGATGATCTTTTGAGGCTGCATATGAGACTTTGTAGTTACCCTTTAACTTTTATGTTTATTGGAGATGGTGGTAAAATTGAAGTGATATTTTGATGGAACTTGGCCTACCCTAAGCTGCCCTCAACCAAGACTGTCTTGGAGGGACAGGAGGCCAGCATGTTGCTTCTCGTGACAGTGCCCAGTCTTATTGATTCAGTTGGATTGTTTCTTTTTTTCCCTGGTTGTAATTAGTATCCACTTCCAGAATCAACTTCTGTATAATTTGAATAAGGTAATTTTACTACTTGTTTTTAGGAAAATTTTAGATGAGTATATTAACTTTACTTTTAAAGTTTACTTAAGCTGAAGATTTAATAAAATGATTTTAAATAATGCATCTGTGGAATCTTTCAAAGTATTGTTTTAAGCCAAAGAACGCGGATCTCTTGAAACCCATAAAATAGGCCCAGATAACTATTTTGATCTCTCTGCTCTTCATTCTCTCTTACTTTTTTTTTTTTTTGGCCTAAAGAACTCCAAGCAGTACCAGAGGATAATTTGAAAACTGTGGTTCTATTTCTTGGATTAGCTTTACAAAGATAAAAACTGTGGGAAAGTGAAGTTAAAATGAAGCTATTGTAACCCAGGTCATAATTCTGTTCCTCCAAAGCTCATTGTTGTACCTAGAGAAGTGATGAGGCATTACAGGACTGTTTCCAGGAGAGTCAGAAGAGTCGTCAGGAAATCTAGGGTCCTGTTGTGAAAGAATCACCGAATTTTCCCCATAACTGACCGGCAGGAAAAAGGTCACCTACCACCTGTCTCCAAGGGACCCCAGGACAGATTGTGTGCAGCCTCTGTTGCATTGCCTCAAACTGATATTTTGAAGAAGGTGGAGAACCTGATCTTCCCCAAAATGTTCTGGCATTTTTTCTGTGATTCGTTATATACTACAACTTTAAAAAAATTTCTTAGACTTTGCCAGGAGTTAAAAGTACTGTATAAAGTTTTTCTTTCTGGGATGTAGGTGTAGAGACTTAAATACATGTGTGTTTGTGTATGTATGACGTATGCTTGTATTTAAAATAAAAGCTACTGACTGTCGTCAAAAATGTAGATGGTGATTTTGTTAGTTTCCCTGGTGCCTTGGAATGAGATTTGATTGCCTATTATGAGCTTGTGTTTTCTCTGAGATAAGTTCTTGAGATCAAGGGCCGTGTCTTTTCCTCCTGAGACCCAGTTCCCAGCATAGGATTTACTAAGAAGCTAGTCAGTAGTGGAGCAGACTGGAATTCCACTTCCAGATTTTTTTTTAATTTAGTGTTTGCCACTAGAGGGACTGGATCAACTCTTGTCCCTTTGTTATTTTACCTTCAATAATGTCTTGTTAATTTATTAAAAACTGTTTTCATTCTAAAATGTGTTTTGGAAATTTGACTAGTCAGGTAGTACCAGTGGAAAATACTAAAAATAACTATTTATAATACTTTTATGTGACTCATTTTTACTTCCCGATCAAAATATTTATCCACAGAGATTTTAAGTAAGCTTTTTGGCTGGTGTTCAGAAACACAGGAAATGAATAAACAAAAGTGGATATTTGATATGAACTTACATAAATGACAGAAATGTAACCTTGGTTTTATTAGTCAAAGTTTAAAGTTTAATCATAAAGGAGTTCAAACCCTATCTCATTTTTTCTAAGCAAATTTTACACATCAATGAAACTGCTTCCTAAGCAGCATTTCACAAAAATTTCGATATGCTCTCCATTATATTAAAACCCCAAAACTACTTTCTTAGTGTAGTTTTATAAAGATTAATTTTCATTAGAGTTCTGTAGTCGATGAAGTTCAGTTAGACGTGGCGGCACCCGCTCCCATCCCGACGGCAGCGGATGGCCGCGCGAAGGCTCTGTTCGCTTTCCCTCTGGGCCTGCGCGGGGCCCTGAGCCAGAGCTTCGGGGGCGCCTGGGTCCCGACAGCAGGTCCCAGCCCAGGCGGACACTCCAGGCCTCAGCCCACAACTCGTCTGCCCCTGCTCGGCTTCTCGCCTCTTCGTAACTTCGCCAGAGACGATGAGCGTTGTGTTTCCAGCAAACTTTCCCTCACGGTTCACTTTATCCAGATAAGAAATCAGGCCTCCCTTCCGGAGCTCAGGGGTCTTCCCACCTTATGCCGCCTTGCCTGATGCTTGGCCGTCTCTTGGCCCAGCGCAGTGTCACTGTCTTTCCTCTTTGTGTGCGTAGCCGTGACCACTGCTCTCTTTTCCCTCTGCTCTCACTCTTCTGTGCTGGCTCAGAGTGGGGATGTGCTCTCTGGCTCGTGTGACACACTGTGACGGGCTAGGGGGAGTCAGGGAGCTGTGTGTACAGTTAAAACCACACTAGGCCAGTTCTGGTGGGCTTTGTATCATTACGTGCTTTTCACTTTTTAAATAGTAAAAACACAGCCAGTGCTTGTGTGTTCATCCCGAGCCTTGGCTGTGCTCTTATACGGGGCCTCTTCCCACTGGCCAGAGCCACCTGTCGCCACAGTGCGCTCAGTTAGTTGGCTGCTCAGGGTTTGGACTTGCTACGTGTCCTGTTAAGTCCCAGGGCCAGTCTTCAAAAGCTTACATTACCCAGAAAGTACCAGAGGAAGGGGGTCGTTAGCGTTGTGTAGAACGCAGTCCCGACGTGCCCCGTGTGTCTGTTGGTGTTGCGTTCACAGCCCAGGGTGGGGGGAGGGGCGGTTCGAGGCGCCAGACACGCCCCTCCCTTGCTGCAGGGTCCAGTCCCCCGTCCCATGTGTGGGCAAAGCTGTTCACTGCAGCGTAGTTCACTGTATTTAAAGACAGTGCATCCGCATGTTGTGTAGTTTACAGAACAGAGCGCTGTCCTGTAGAGGGAGTGAGGCAGCTCACATTCTGCGGAAACAGTCTGCACCAGAGAGGTTTTTTTTTTTTTTTTAAGAGGGAGTGTTCCTTATTTGTTTATTTATTTGTTTGTTTATTTATTAAACAGAGTCACAGATTTATTTATTTTTGGCTGCATTGGGTCTTCATTGCTGTGCGCAGGCTTTCTCTAGTTGCGGGACGCAGGCTTCTCATTGTGGTGGCTTCTCTTGTTGCGGAGCACGAGCTCTAGGCCCGTGGGCTCAGTAGTTGTGGCTCGCAGGCTATAGAGCGCAGGCTCAGTAGTTGTGGTGCACGGGCTTCTCATCGCAGCGGCTTTTCTTGTTGCGGAGCACAGGCTCTAGGCGCACGGGCTTCAGTAGTTGTGGCTCGTGGGCTTAGCTGCTCTGCGACATGTGGGATCTTCCTGGACCAGGGCTTGAACCCGTGTCCCCTGCATTGGCTGGCGGATTCTTAACCACTGCGCCACCAGGGAAGTCCCCCCACCATAGATTAAGTGGAAAGGAAACACCCGCTGCAGAGCATGGGTTATGTGTCATGTCTGTGAGCCAAAGAGACTGCACGTTCCCACCACGCGCATCCTCTACCCCCAGGAGGTGGCCTCTGGGGAGAGCACTGCTGAGGTTGCAGGGAATCAGGGGAGGAAGGGAACCTACTTATTCTGCTCTGTGTTCTCATTGGCACCGTTTGTGTTTTTTCTTACTACATCCATGTTCCTGTTACTTTTTAAAAAGGCCACGTTTCCTCCTTGCCTCGCACTGCCCTCCAGAGTAGGGCGGCAGTGCCCTTGAGGCGGTTGCTCGGAAATTAAATTCCCACAGCTTCTCTGGTACTGTGTTCCCCACTCCCTGCATACAGGTGACTGAGTACTTGGTCTACACTTGGTACAGTAGGACGAACACCAGCTTTGCAGTCAGAGTAGACCTGTGCCTACAGCTTACTGGCTTGTACGGTTTAGGGTGAGTTACTTAACCTTTCAGAATCCTAATTTTCTTGTGCAGGCTGTGGAGTGGTAATGTGTGTAGCTCAGATCTGTCCTGAGGATCAAATAAGAGCATGTACTCCGTGAGCTGGCATGATGATGGGCATGTGGTAGGGGTTCTATACATGATAATTTTTACATTTTTGTGTGTGTGGGTGTAAGTGCAATAATGTGTATCATGTGTTGACTATCACATATTACTTACCTGTGCAGATATCCTTCCAGCAAGAAAACCACAGTTTTAAACATGAGTCACTTGTGTAGATTACAAGTCAAAGCTTGGTGATAATGACAATATTGGAATTCCTTTTTAACGTAAGTACATTACTTAGATATAGGGTTTTTTGGAGTAATATCTGTGTTTTCTTTTTCAGCTCTTTCAGTCTCACATGGCAACAAAAACAGCTCATATGTCCCCACAAGTATTTGACAATGAAGAGAAAGTGAGTATATCTTTTAAGTAGACCCGCCTTGTACTCTGGATGCCTCTGTGGTTTCAGAATAACTACTGAGAGACCTGAAAGACTTTTGTTGCTACTTACCTTGAATATGAATTAACTGTTATGTTGATCCAAGTTAAAAATCAGTGACAAACTGCATCACTGTCGACTGTCCACAGCGTCTCTACCCTGCCTGACGTTAAGCAGATGCAGGTTCCAGCTCTGCCACGGCAGGCAGGGGCAGCCTGACACTGCTGTAGCTGGCGTCCTCACAGACCTTGATGATGACAGGGTGGGACGCCACGGGACGGCCCTGTCAGAGCCTTCCTGAGTGCGAGGTCAGACCTTAGTGCTTCTGAGGGCTTTCTGAGTGCCTGCACAGGAGGGATGTGTTTGGGTAATTTGTATTAAAAGTTATATTTAGAAAGAGGGAGTAAATTTAATTTGGTGAATGAGGTGAGTTGTCAGTGTTTTAAAAGAGAAAACAGTAACCATGAGCACGGGTCACGAGATCCCTTTCCTTTAGCTCCATGCTCCAGCAGCCTCTGCCTCCCAACACGTGCTGAGGTCCCCCCAGTTCTGATACTTGGTCATCTGGCCACCGAGCTGCCATCATTTTATCTCTGTTCTCTCATTGGTAGTTGTAGTCTGTTCCATCTTTATTTTATCACCTCGCAGACTTTGAATTACTCTTAATCGGTCTTCTAACACGTCGCTTTGCTGAAACTACTGTAATTGTTTAGTGAGTGATGCACTGAGTGCTCACTGCTCAGTCCTCATTCTCTCCAGCCCCTCTTCTTCATTAAATGATGCTGACCACTCCCACATTTTTGAAAAGATTCTTTTATTTCCATGACATTAAAATCACATGCTTTAGAACCAGGAGGGATTCTATAGGCCATTTAGTTCAACTTTTGTGCTTCCAATAGAAACTCTAACAAATACTGTTCTAATCCTCTTGAACGCTCTCACGGCCAGCTGGGAAGCATAGTGTGTTTCTTCATTCTCTCTTCTTTTTAAATCACAGAGATAACAGGCTTACCTGGTAAAAGGGACTCGAAGGGCACAACTCGTCCGTGGACTAGTTGTCTGTTGCTCTGTAACAAATGGCACGAGCTGAGCTGCTGAAAACAGCAGCTGTTGATTAGCGCCCAGCCTGCGGGTCGGGAGCGCCAGGCTGGCTCCCCTGGCTTCTCCACCCAGGCCTCACGTGCAGGAGGTCGGCTGCTGGTTCCCAGCTGGGACCGCACCCCACCCCACCCCCGACCCTTCCAGGTTGTCGGCAGAGTTCCATTCTTTGCTGGCCGGTTGCTGCCAGCTTCTGGAGATCATTCTTAGGTCCTTGCGACCCATACAGCAAGGGGAACTGGAAAGGCAAGGCCCCTTCATGCTTCAAATCCCTTCCACTCGGAAGTCCTCTGTCCCTTTTAAGGGTCCACCCTGGATAATCTCCCTTTCTAAGGTTAACTGATTTGGGACCGTAATGACATCTGTCAAACCCCTTCACCGCAGCACCTAGATTAGCGTTTGAATAACCAGAAGGTGTGGGTACACCGGTGCCAGCAGTCTTGGGGTCCTCGTGGGAACTCTCTCACCATATACAGTGACAAGCTCGTCTTTCTCACCTACACCTCCAGGTCCACTCCCAACAGTCTGTCACTACCCTTTGAGACATCTTCATCCATGTTCATATATATATATGAGAATATATGAAAAGATTTTTTCTTTCTGAAACTGAAATCACAGTGAATAAATCACTGTTTAGATACTTAGCATTTGAGATTTCTCCACGTGTGGAATGTGTCAGTCGTTCAGGATTCCATCGTGTGGATTCACTACAACTTGTTTATCCATTTGCCAGTTGTTGGGCCTTTGCTTGTTTCTTGCCACTTCTGACTGTTTGGAGGAAAGCTGCTACGACCATCCGTGCGTCAGTCCTTGTGTGGATGGGTGCTCTATCTTGGGTGCTGGTAAGCGGGGTCTTTTGGCTGTGTGGTTACGTGTACTTAACTTTATAAGAAACCACTGCCTGCCTTCCAGAGCGGCTGTGCCATTTTGCATGTGCAGCAGCGAACTTATCAGAGTTCCCATTTTTGTTCATCATCTCCAACGCTTGATGTTATCAGCCTTTTACATTTTTGCCATTTTAGTGGCTGTTCAGGGGTATCTCATTGTAGTTGTGCTTCACATTTTCCTGATAACTGTTAATAATGTTGCGCACTCTTTCATGTGCTCATTGGCTGTTTTGTTATCTTTTTTGTGAAGTGTCTGTTCAAGTGTTTTACCCATTTTTTTTAAAGTGGGTTGTCTTGTTATTGAATCTTACAAAATTCTTTATGTATTCTGAATACAAGTGCTTTGTCATATATATACTATTTTCTCCCAGTCTGTGACTTGCATAGTCCTTGATAACTCTAAGTTTTTAATTTTGATTAAGTAGACAAATAGGTAAATAATAGATTGTCACAATACCACACTCCTTGGTGATTGTAGCCTCAGATTAGGTACTGTAAGTCCTTCAGCTTGTTCTTTTGTACAGTCATTCTAGCTGTTCTAAGTCTTCTGCCTTCCCATATGAATTTTACCATCAGCAGTTGGTTACTGTATCGACAGCATATATTTGGGTCTTGCTCTTTTATCCAGTCTGACAATTTCCTTTTAATTGAAAAGTTTAGACCTACACTGTCTAGTATGGTGGCCACTAGCCACACGTGGCTATTTAAATTTAAATTAGTTAAAATTAAATAAAATTAAGAAGTTCCTTCCTCGGTTGCATGCGTCACGTGCAGGTGCTCAGTGACTGCACGTGGCTGGTGGCTCCAGTTGGCAGCTCAGCATTGTCACGGAAGGTCCTGTTGGACAGCTGGCTTAGGCCACTTCTGTTTAATTATAGACGCACCTGGTTTAAGTCTACCAACTGGCCATGTGTGTTCTTTTTTTTTACGTTTTTTTTTTTTTGAATTTTATTTTATTTTTTTTATACAGCAGGTTCTTATTAGTTATCCATTTAATACATATTAGTGTATACATGTCAATCCCAACCTCCCAGTTCATCCCACCACCACTTCCCCCCTTGGTGTCCATACATTTGTGGCCATGTGTTTTCCATTTGTCCCATTTGTTCTTTCATTTTTTTTTCTTTTCCTGCCTCCTTCTGGATTAATGGAGTATTTTTATGATTGCTTACTAGCTAACCCTCTTTGGTCTTTTATTTTTTTAAACAGTAATTGATGTGGGCTTTAACTTATCACTCACTGCCTTCAGTGTTGCAGCACTTCCTGTATAGTGTAGAAACCTTACGACAGTGTAACTCCATTCCCCTTCCCATCTTTTGTGCCGTCAACAGTCATGCATCCTGCTTCTCCATGTATCATAAATCCTGTAATACACTGTTGTTATTGCTTTAAGCAGTCAATCTATATTTTCAAGAAATTAAAACTAGCAAAAAATTCTCTTACGTTTACCCATATTTTTACCTTTCTGACAGTCTTCATCCTTTTTGTAGATCTGAGTTTCCATCTGTTGTCATTTTCCTTTCTCTTGGAGAACTTTTAGCATTTCTTGTCGTGTAGCATTTCTGGCCGTGCCATTTCGTAAATGTCATTTGTACATTTAGCAAATGTAGCGGTCTTCATTTGCCTTCACCTGTGAGGGGTGTTTTCATTGGATACAGAACTCGGGGCTGTCACTTCTTCTTTGGCGCTTTACTGGTGCTGTTCTGTCGTCTTTTGGTGCGCGTCTTATGTTTTACTTGTCTGTAATACGCCTTCCCACCCCTGGTTGCTTGTAAAGTTTTCTTCATCCAACAGTATTTTCCTGTTTTGGAAAATCAAATATTTTTATGTCATAAGTAGTGCTGGACTCTCATCATAGGAAGATAATAAGAAATATGTGTTTTGAGGGTCTGGACACAGGTTTCTCACAAACTTAACCAGTTGTATCTTGGGGGAGGTATAATGATCAAAAAGTCTTTAATTTTTTTCTGATGAATTATGTTTATCTCTAATGTGCCTATATCCTGTTTTAGTAAGACTTTAAAAAATTGTTGCCGTTGTTTTTGTTTCCTTTCAGCAAAAAAAAGAAAATACTCGTTCTTTAGCCATGTCTGGCCATGTTGGTTTTGAGAGTCTGCCTGATCAGCTGGTCAACAGATCAATTCAGCAAGGCTTCTGCTTTAATATTCTCTGCGTGGGTAAGTGCCAAGCCCCCCTAGATTCTTCCTTCCTGTTCCTGTGCTCACTTCCTTCTTGTCATGAGCAGCATGGTGCCCACATTAGCAACTTAAGATCATGATTACAGATTTTTTTCCAGTTATTTAAATTCTATCAGTTTTGGTTTTCTTAGCTCTACTGCTTTAAACTTTTTGTTTGTTCTTTAAACATTTCAGTGCTTTCTTCAGAGTTCTGAGTAACTTAGCACACGTGATTCATTTTTATGCTCTGCTGGTGACTCAGTGGACCAGCCTTAGCATGTATTTATTTCAGGGACAATCCAGCCTTTGAAGTATCCGAAATATTTGGGACCCATGAAACCATTGTAAGAGTTTACTGTTCTGTTTTTCTTCATCCATCCTGTGCACCTGTGAAGATGTACCTGCATTTCTTTCAGGGGAGACTGGAATTGGAAAATCAACGCTGATTGACACACTATTTAATACGAATTTTGAAGACCATGAATCCTCACATTTTTACCCACATGTTAGACTTAAAGCCCAGACATATGAACTCCAGGAAAGTAACGTTCGATTGAAATTGACCATCGTGAATACAGTGGGATTTGGTGACCAAATAAACAAAGAAGAGAGGTACACGCTTTCCTCTTGTAATAAATAGGTTTTTCTTATTTCAGGATATCTGCCTTCTTGCCCTATGTGCTGTGATTTGATTTTCAACTGTGGAAACCCATGCCTTTCCTCCCAGACTTAAATTTTTTAAATAATTAAGCAATATTTTATTATTGTTAACAAATTGACATTTTTCTATCCAGTTGTCTAATTTCTTTAGAGTAATTTGAATCACATTTTTTAAATGCGTGTTTCAGCAAAAATAGTAATAGTTTTAGTTATTTCCTGATATGACAATTTGGTGTATATTAAGTGATTTTAACTAATTTTCAGGCAAGACTTGTCTTGTTGAGAAAAAAAAAAAACAACAACAAGGCATATATGGCAAATATATAATCGCCAAATCCATGTGCATGAATTGTTTTGTGAAATTCTAACTAAATTAGCCAGGTACATTATTAAGCATCGCAGGAAAGATTTGATAATGAAATTTTTATTTGTATTTTATATTAGGTCACTATTTTTGTCATTATTTCTAAGGTATTATAATTATTCTTTTTCTTTAAATTTATTTATTTATGTATTTATTTTTATTATTTTGGGGTGGGGGTGCTGTGACCGGTCTTAGTTGAGGTACGCAGGCTCTTTGTTGTGGCGTGCGAGGTTTCTCTCTCTAGTTGTGGTGCATGGGCTCCAGAGCACGTGAGCTCTGTAGTTTGCAGCACGCGGGCTCTCTCGTTGAGGTGCACGGGCTCAGTAGTTGTGGAGCGTGGGCTCAGTAGTGTGGTGCGCAGGCTTAGTTACTCTGCAGCCTGTGGGATCTTAGTTCCCAACCAGGGATCGAACCCACCTCCCCTGCATTGGCAGGCAGACTTTACCATTGGACCAGCAGGGAAGCCCCTCCTATGGTATTATAAAGATTGATTATAGATTCTATATGAAATTTAAACTATAAAAGGAGGAAATAGACTGGGGCAAAGCAATGACTTTTTGTTCTTTCTCCTTTTTGAAAGTTATATATTTTCATTATTAGAGGTAGTTTCCTAGGTCCTAAAAGTTTGCTTTAGAGGGAAAATATGTTGCATCATTGACTGTCTTTATGTGTTAGCCTGAACACAAGTGTTCTACTTTAGAATTCAGGAAACAGTTTTGTGGGCTTTCTGGAGGAAGCAGGTCGGTGGAGGAGGCAAAGGCCTTTTCTGTATAGAAATCATTTACATTTATTCTTAGATATTTGGTAGTTTTGATGATCTTGTAAATGGCATCTTTTACAAATATTTCATTTTCTATTTGGTGTATGGAAATATAATTGATCTTGCATATAGCCACTTCTGTGAATTCTCTGATTAATTCCAATAACTCGTCTCTAAATTTGTTTAGGTTTTCTATGTATGTAATAGTATAATCTGCAAATAATGGCATATTCTTCCTTTCTAATTCTTTTGTTTCTTCTTTTTAAATAAGTTTTATTGCTGTATAATTTTTAAAAAATTTATTTGTTTTTTATTTTTGGCTGCATTGGGTCTTCATTGCTGCGCATGGGCTTTCTCTAGCTGCAGCGAGCGGGGGCCACTCTTCGTTGCGATGCACGGGCTTCTCATTGCGGTAGCTTCTCTTGCTGTGGAGCACGGGCTCTAGAGTGCAGACTCAGTAGTTGTGGCTCACGGGCTCCAGAGCGCAGGCTCAGTAGTTGTGGCGCACGGGCTTAGTTGCTCCGCAGCATGTGGGATCTTCCCAGATCAGGGATTGAACCCGTGTCTCCTGCGTTGGCAGGCGGATTCTTAACCATTGCACCACCAAGGAAGCCCTATTGCTGTATAATTTACATAGAATAATACAATGCATTGTTTGCTTAAGCGTACAATTTAGTTACTTTTGACAAACATGTAGTTCCTACCCACCACCACGACAGTTATAGGAAATGTCCACAGCCTTGAGTCCCCTCACGTGCCCTGCAGCCCACTTCTTCCCCAGGGGCTCCCCAGGGGCGGTGCCTTCTCCTGGGGTGGGTGCTGTGGCTTCTCCCCGGCGCCCTCTTGTGAAGTCTCGGTACTTTGGCCTCCCTGAGTGCCTGTCTCTCCTCCGTCCTCAGTGGGTCTGCCAGGCTTTGTGCCCTCTTTTGTGCTGGGCCCCAGAAACTTGTCTGCAGGCAGTGGGGCTGGGAGGCTGTAGACTCCCCTCATTCATCTCCCAGTGATCAGCATTTTTACTGCCTGTTGTCCTGTGTCTGAAACCCCCTTTCCATATATTTTGTCCGGGCGGGGGTGGGGGCGGAGGCGGGGTGTGGATCCGGTTGCTGCTCCTCCAGCATGGCTGAAGACAGTGGTCTTTATTTCCTTTCTCACATTTTAATACCTGACTGCACTGGGACTGGCAGTACTCCACTAGAGTCAGTGGAGATAGTGGGCATCTTTGCCTTGCCCTGACTCCAAAGGGAAAGCTCCCTTTTTGCCCTGAATTATGCTGCTTTCTTTTTTTCAGTTAGAATAAGGAAGTTACTTTATATTATTAGTAAGAGTTGTTTTTTTAAAATCATGAATACATATTATTATCAGGTATTTTTTGGATTCTGTGGAAAAGATTGTAATTTTTCTCCTTTAATCTTTAATAAGATGAATTACAGTAACTGACTTTTTATTAGTAAATTAACCTGGCAGTCTTGGATACCATTTGGTATTCTTTTTATATTGTGCTGTATCTGATTTTTTTTTTTCCTTTTAGTATTTTTGCATGTTATGTCTATAAGTGAGGTTTTCAACCAGTATCTTATACTATCCTTTTTTTTTTTTTAAATAAATGTTATGTTAGCCTTCTAAAATGGGTTTGGGGAGTTTTTCACTCTGTTTTTTGGAAAAATTTGTGTAAGATTAGAGTTATTCTTCCCTGGAATGATTTGTGGAACTTGCCAGTAAAACCATCTGGGCCTTGAGTTTTCTGAGAAGATTTTGAGTTATTAATTTTCTTTAATGATTATAGGACAATTTGGAGTTGTTTTTTGAGACAGCTTTGAAAAGTTACAATTTTCCAGGAATCTGTTTCATCCAAATTCCCAAATATATTTACTTAAAGATGTTGATAGTATTCTTCTAACATATTTTCATTGTCTTCATCATCTGTAATGACATCTGCACCTCCTTTCCTGGTACTGGTCATTTGTGCTTGTTTCTCTTCTCCTTGGTCAGCCTTGACAAAGTGTGGTAAGTTTACTTGGTCTTTTCAAATTTTGGCTTTGTCGATTCTATCAATTTTATACTTACTGTTTTTCCTATTTTATTAATTTCTGCTCTTATATCTGTAATTACTTTTCTTTGGATTTTGATCTAATTTGCTCTGATTTCTCACTGATTCTCAGCCTTATGTATTTAAGATTATAAATTACCCTCTAAGTATGGCTTTACCCATACTTACCCTCTAAGTGTGGCTGCATCCCACAAATTTTGATATGTAGTATTGATATTTCCAATTTCAATTAACTTTTTCTTTAATTTTATCCTGAAGAATAGATGCTTTTATCACTAGGTAGCGACCTCTTCCTCTTGTGAGGCTTCTGTGTTGTCAGACGTCACTTCCTTGTGGAGGCATGCTCTTCTTTCCTTCACTCCAGCCTTTGGGTACTCTTGTGCTTTAGGTGTGCTTCTGATCAAGCATATGGTTTTCTTTTTTAAAATCCACTGTGACAATATTTATTTTTAATTGTGTGCTTAGTCCATTCACAGGTAATATATTTACTGATATTTTAGGTTTAAATTTACCATCTCATTTTGAGTTTTCTGTTGGTCGCGAGTTTCACATTTCTTTTTCCTTTCTTGCTTGATTTCTATTCTTGTGGCTGTTACCCTAGAAATTACAAACATAATCTCTAACCTAATCAAGGTTTGAGGTTAATTAATATTTGTACTTGTCCTCAATGATACAAATAGACAATAAAATGGAATTTTGAACAGTTAAACTGTTAACCGCCCCCCCACCCCTCCAACTTACCCTGTCATGTTTTCTCTCTCTTTTTCCTAACCACACAAGACATTATTATTATCATTTTATATAGCCAGTATTTACTACCCTCTTAACCAAAATTTTCTGTTTTACTCTCATACTTGAAATTTTAGTTGGGTATACAATTCTGGGTGGGCATTTATTTTCTTTCCTCCCACTGAAGATACCATTCCACTGTCTCCTGGCTTCTGTTTTTACTGCTGAGAAGGCAGCTGTGAGTCTGTCTTCCCCTTAAGAGTATCCTCCTTATTTTCCTCCAGTGCTTTTAAGATCTTTGTTTTTGTTGTTCTCCAGTTTTACCGTGATATATCTAGGTTTTATTTATTTATAATTTATCCTGATTGTGATTTGTTTGACTTCTTGAGTCTGAACAGTATCATCAGTTCTTTTAAAAAATCTGAGACATCATCTCTTCAGATGCTGTTTCTGCCCCTTCTGAAACGGTGTTAAAATGTATGTTAGACCTTCTCGTTATGTCTTCTGTGTTTATTAATCTCTCTTCCATAGTTTTATCTTTTTTTTTTCTTCTCTCTATTGTTTTCTGGATAATTAGTTTGGATTTATCCTCCAGTGTACTGATTCTCTCTTTAGCTGTGTCCAATATGCTTTTAAACTAATCCATGAGTTTTTCATTCTGGTTATTATAGTTTTCAAATCTATACATTCTGTGTGGTTCATATTCATATCTGTAGGATCACTTTTTGTTACTTTACTATTCCCAGCACGTATATTCAAGTTCACCTTTATTTCTATTTTGTAACTATATCTTATAATTCCAGTACATTGCAATTTTGCAGTTATTGTACTGATGTTTGTTTTTTCCTTTGGTTCTTATTCATTGTGCCTTTTCTCCCCTATATGCTTGGTTGTTTTTTTATTGGAGTTCTCATGGTCTTTGAATATTTGCGGAGATACTCAAAACAGATTTGGATTTGCTTACATTAGGTCCCTCTGGGTGTTAATACTCAGGATCCTAGTTTCGTGGCTTGAGGTTCTCAGAATCAGAGGCCATGTGTGAACCCGGGCCGTGGATTCCTGTGAGGGCTGACCCCGTGGCCACAAGTTCTTGAGGCTGGTTCTCCCTCTCCGTTTATTTTCCCAACTTCATTTAGTGCCAGGGCAACATTCCCTCACATCCTTGGGGAGGGGGGAGGAACTGCGGGTTTACTTCTAGCTCATTCCCGCACTGAAGGTGTAGATCTGAGGACCTCAGCGCAGTGTGGGGAGGCAGTCTCCTGTGTGGACCTGGACTTTGCTTTCTTCCTTCTTGTCCCGCAAATCCTTCGGGAGCAAAGCCGAAGAACCACATTGACAAACTGGCCTCAGGATGAAACTAGCACTGATGCTTTTAGTGCAGGGGCTGGTACACCTTTTCTGTAAAGGCCAGAGAAGTAAATATCTCAAGCTTTGCAGAACCTATGGCCTCTGTCCAAACTACTCTGCTTGTAGCGAAAAAGCAGCCTCAGACTATGAATAACAAAGGAACGTGGCTGGATTTGGCCCATTTACCAAGCCCGCTCTGGTCCTCTGCTCACCTCCCTGTTTCTACTCTCTTCAGTTTTGAGGTGGTTACTTCCTTACCCTTTATGAGTACTTTGAAAAAGGAGGTGGTTTTTGTATTTTAAGCCAGTGTCTTTCATTTCATTGAAGATTGAACCTGCAAGGTACTGGAAACGGAAGCCTAGAGGAAAATACTGTGGAAGAATTTCTAATGTTATTATTATTTATTTAACAAAAAATGTTTATGGTTTTCATTTATGACAGGCATTATGCAAAGCATTCAGATAGAGGAGTGTTTATGGCTATTTATAATTGATCTATTTTAAGTCATTAATAGAAGCTTCTTTGGAAATTTTATGTTAAATATGTACTTACAGATTAATTTTTACTGTTTTATGATTTTGGGGATGGCATCACGTTGGGTCACATTTAGACCAGTTTCCCAAGGATGGTGTCCCCGATAGTACATCTGATGTGGTGAAGGTGTGCTGTTGTGTTGTTGTGTGGAGAGCACAGAAGCGTAAGGTCCCGTCTCTGTCCCCAGCTGCGTGCCGTGTGCCTGGGGACAACAGGGGTTCTATGAGTTTGAAAGAAGGAGGTGATGATCCTCAAGGACTGGCAGGGCCAGGCGTTCCGCTGAATGCACATTTATTAGTACTGCAGCTGCACAGTTACTGACTGCTCTGTTTAGGGGCTACAGGGATAAGTGTAGAGGTGTCCAGGGAATTTGATAGAGGATCCGTTTGCTGCTTTTTTCACTTGGAAGCCCAGATTTGCCTGATGAGAATAGTTACGCATAGAAAGTTGAGGTTCACAGGCGGTGATTTAGCATACCAAAATGAAGTGGACCGTTCACAAACTATTGTCTGCAGTGCATCGTGCTGTGAGCTGCACCCTGAAGGGTGAACAGCCTGGAACAGCTGTGGGGGCAGACGCGCCAGGCGGGAGGAGGGTCCAGGCAAGGACTCGGCGTGTCGGCTGCGACGGGCTTTCCCTTGCTTGTAAGTAAATAAGGTCATGCCTGCGTCACCAGTTAGGCGCTTCCACGTGGGTGTGCCCTTCCTCCTTACTACGTTAATGCTTTCCACGCCTCACGATCCGATTTCAGAAGCAGGGAGTCATGGAATTTGACTTAAGTATCTTTTAAGTTGTTGATACTCGTGCCTTCTCTCAGCAGAATAATATGCCATGTCCAGTTTGGTTGCAATTAGACGCCTACCCTCCTTCAGCAGCCTGGCAAGTGTGGGAAGCCGTGCCAGAAGGGCTCCAGCGTGTGAATGAGTGTGAGAGGGAATTAGTGTACGTTCAGTGTTGTTTCTATAAAATGGTTTAAAGCACAGGTTGTTCTGATGGTTTCAAAGTACTGCCTTTGTACCTGCACGTTTGCACATTGTTTTATTACTTATCTGTTTAGCATAGATAGCAACTGTTCACTGATCTCAAACTTTAGATTTATGCATATACCTTATTATTATTCACTGATCTCAAACTTAGATTTATGCATATACCTTATTAAGGTATCATGAATATATTGTATTAAATATTTAAATAATTGTTTTTTCAGCTACCAACCAATTGTTGACTACATCGACGCTCAGTTTGAGGCCTATCTCCAAGAAGAGTTGAAAATCAAACGCTCCCTCTTTAACTACCACGACTCTCGCATCCACGTGTGCCTCTACTTCATCTCCCCAACAGGCCACTCTCTGAAGACACTGGATCTCTTGACCATGAAAAGCCTGGACAGCAAGGTGGGTTTGGAAAAGGACCAACCATCGTGCTTCAGTTCATTTTAATAGTTCCAAGTTCATTCACTTGGAACTATTAAAGTATCTTTATGATATATATATGATATATACATATGTCATAACTCTTATTCTGTGCATTTTAAAAACATTTGATAATTTTCAATTTTAGGATATTTTCCAGAGAAATTCAGTTTGGGAGATGAGATGCAAAGAAAAAGCATTAACATAAAATTTTAGTCCTTTTTTAGTGATTAAATTGCATGCCAGAATAGGGGTATTCATTTTCACGTAACTATAGAATTTATTTGACACTAACTTTACTGTATGACATATTAAGTGAGAAGCAGCTCACTGATGAAGATCAAGGTCTAAAGTCTCACCACATACTACAGTAAATTACATTTTTATTTCAACTGTATCCAGAAAACCTATTTTTGAATTTCTGAGCCAATGAGCTATGTATAAATTCAGGGAGCTGTAAAATATAGTATCTACAAATTGACTCACTTCAGATTTTTTTTATTTCTTTAAAAGATAGTTAAAGACTACTGTCTTATACTAAAAAAGTCTCCAGGGTTCTCCTGTGACCTCTGATGGTGTGAGGGATGCAGCTCCGTTACCTGGCTGAGCATTTCGTGAGCTAGGACTGGGAAAGCAAGGACATCTGGCCACTGCTGCTTTCTGTATGGAAGTCGGTGTGGAAGGCACGCGGGCCAGCGGGTGCAGCGTCAGTGCAGAGATGGGCTGGCTTCTGACAAGTACCACAGTCCCCAGGCTGTGACGGGCCTGGAGGAAGCTGATGTGAGAGTCTGTTCACCTGATCGGATGTTCTGACCATTTAGCCGGTTGTTTTCATAGTTGAGTCTGATACAGGAAACCCATCTTATTCAAGGGACATAAACGCAAGAGTGCACAGCTCTGTCTCAGGCTGCGCTTGTCTGGTGGCGGCAGAGGTGCCTGCAGTACTCGCTCTGCCACCTAATCGCCCCTTGTTCCTGGCAGGTTTCTACCCTCCGAGCGTCCGTCTCCCTGCCTCTCAAACCAGAACCAGGAGACCATCTCCCTCGAAGGCAGGTGTGAGGGTGGACTAAATCGACAATGTGTCTTGTTCTTACTACAGGGCTCCACGGCTCCCTCCACGTGGAGAGTTACCTGCTGTGCGGGTGGTGCCACGTCCCCCTCCGCCAGGGCCACTGTCGTGGCTGGGCCAGCCCTCGTGGTTCTTAGGGTCCCAGGATGCACATCAGCAACAAGCCTCAGGGGACTCCGAGGAGCAAGGGTTGTCCCTACTGGTCCTGAGGGCACACAGCACACTCAAGGCCACACGGTGGGGTGGGAGTGGGGGGGAGGGAGGGGGAGGGGTCGTCAACCTGGGCTCAGCCTCTATCAGGGTCTGAGGGTGAGGCATCTGGGGTTTCACAGGTTCCCCCTTTGGTGGTGACTCTAAAGCACTAGCGTGCAAATTGGGGCTGGCAAGGGAGAGGCAGGTCGCTCCAGGCTTGGCCATCTAGGGTTTCTGAAAGGGGGTCCTCCAGGCAGGGCTGCCCGGTTCCTTACCTGATGGTAGCCAGTAGCTATGTCCGCAGCTGCAGTGGGTTTATTCGAATGGATGTCTTTGAAATAGATGCCTCAGCAAAGGTCAGTTTCAGGCGCATATGCTACAATCAAAAAGCTTAACGTCATGTATGTACACTGGCCTGCTCCTGCTATTAATAGTGGAATCAATTAGAAGTTACTAACTTGGCATAATTTATAGAATATCTATGTATCAATATTATATGATACCAAAATCAAGAACTTGGCATCAAATTTTTATATACTTTGACTAATTTATCTTCAAAGCTGTTTACCCACAATTGCTGAAAAGTTTATTTCATGGATAGTTGGAAAAATCTTTACCTCCTTTGGAACGTATTTAAGACCAATAAATCCAAATGTACACAGTAAATCAGTGTGAAATTGGAGAAGAAAAATACATTTAAGAATAGAAAAGGAATTATGATATTTAGTTTTCACTTTCATTCTGAAAATCACATTGATAGCTCACTCTCTTGGCACACATGACTACTTAGCCTGAAGTCTTTCACTAAAAACGAACTAATAACCCAAAAGACCTATAAACCCCTGAATTTGTGGAGATATCACTCTTTGGTGGGGACGTTAATCATACAGAACTAGCGTCGCAGGTCAGTTGGTCTTCAGGACCCCACATCTCTTCCTCTCAGGCCAGTGATAGGACTTTTAAATAATGCTGAGAAAGGGGGACTTCCCTGGTGGCACAGCGGTTAAGAATCCGCCTGCCAGTGCAGGGGACACGGGTTCGATCCCTGATATGGGAAGATCCCACATGCCACGGAGCAACAAAGCCCGTACACCACAACTACGGAGCCTGCGTTCTAGAGCCCCGCGAGCCACAGCTGCTGACCCATGTGCCACAACTACTGAAGCCCATGCGCCTAGAGCCTGTGCTCTGCAACAAGAGAAGCCACCGCAATGAGAAGCCCGTGCACTGCAACAAAGAGCAGCCCCCGCTCGGCGCAACTAGAGAAAGTCAGCGTGCAACAATGAAGACCCAACGCAGCCAAAAATAAAATAAAATAATGTAAAAAAAATAATGCTGAGAAAGTTATTCCTTTGAGTCATGAACGTCTTTAGTTGGTATTCGTAAAATCTCCTTCTTTCAACATCTTGGTAAGAGCCTGACAATGGGGTGCAGGTCAGATGAAGTCATTGGGAAAAGGGACCTGCTTAAATGAGAGGCAGAAGGAGGCCCTTGGCCTGTTCTGTAGGTCTGCTGAGATCAGTCACCCTGATTACTTAGTGCTTAGAGTATTAAGAAATAAAAAATTCTTAATGAATTATGCAGTGGATTTCAGCTCACGGCTTACATTTTATTTATTTTGTGTATGATGGAATTGTCAGAGACTGAGAGAAGAAAATGTGAGATTTCTAAACCTGAATTCAGATGAAAGATGAGCTTTATAAGAGCTGTGCTTTATTTATTTATGTATGGATGGATGGATGGGTGGATGGCTGCGTTGGGTCTTCGTTGCTGCGCGTGGGCTTTCTCTAGTTGTGGTGAGCAGGGGCTACTCTTCGTTGCGGTGCGCGGGCTTCTCGTTGCAGTGGCTTCTCTTTTTGTGGGGCACGGGCTCTAGGCCCGAGTTCTCCAGTAGTTGTGGCACATGGGCTCAGTAATTGTGGCTTGAGGGCTCTATAGCGCAGGCTCAGTAGTTGTGGCGCACGGGCTTAGTTGCTCCGCGGCATGTGGGATCTTCCCAGACCAGCGCTTGAACCCGTGTCCTCTGCATTGGCAGGCGGATTCTTAACCACTGTTGTCACCAGGGAAGTGCCAGAGCTCTGCTTTTTAAAAGCAGTTATTGTAAGGCCAGCATTTGTAGGAGTGGTTGTATACGATTATCTGGTAAAAATGAAGCCAATGATTCTACGTCAGGAGTTGGCAAGCTTTTCCTGTGAAGGGCCAGGTAGTAAATACTTCAGGCTTCGCAGCTCGTGGGCCTCTGATACAACTACTCACTTCTGCTATTATAGAATGAAAGTGGCCATAGGAAATATGTAATGTGTAATGAATGGGCCTAGCTGTGTTCCAGTAACTCTTTATTTATGTAAACAGGCAGTGAGTGGACTGTAGTTTGCCTGTCCTCTGATCTAGGTCAAGGAAATTTGTCAGGGACTGAGTGGTTTTGAATGCAAAAGCTTCAGGATTAAAAAATAAATCCTCAATCATGAGATTTTGTTTCTCTTTATTCTTAATAGGTGAACATTATACCAGTGATTGCCAAAGCAGATGCAATTTCTAAAACTGAATTACAGAAGTTTAAGATCAAGCTTATGAGTGAATTGGCCAGCAATGGTGTTCAGATATACCAGTTCCCAACAGATGATGAAACTATTGCTAAAGTCAATGCTTCAATGAATGTAAGCGCTTAACTGAATATTATTTCTGTTTTACATATGAAAAAAGTGATTTATAAGTAAGTAACACTGCTACTAATGTATTTTCACTTCTGTCTTCCAAAACAAGGTGAATTTTGAAAGAGTCCAGTATAGGGAAATGTTTTATTTTCTAGAGTTGGAAAAGTATAATGAGAATATATTTTTGAGCATTTTTCTTTCCTCCCTACTTTCACCTAAATGAAGTGATACATCTGTGAGACCGGGATTCATCTTTTGTGGAACCATATTTAATTGCCTTAGAAAGATTCCTTTCTGTCCTTTCTTTAAGAACATGAGAAGACATTACGGCCTCCCTCAGAATGCTTTAGGATCTTAAAATCTTTAAGGAGAGCTTTCTAATCTGGTACTGAAGCTCATTCTCCCTTACAGGGTCACAGGTACATATGAAATATTCACATAATTTTTTTAATATTTTAATATAGAATATATTTAGTATATTTTAATTATACATAACTTAATGTGATTGAGGATGACTAAGTTCTTTGTGTTACTTGAGGCTACCAGATTTCTTAAATAATTGGCTATATTTTGATGGATCACGGGTTTTGGAGTCAGACTTTACCATGTGTTCTTGTGGGAATTATTAACCTCCCTGAGACTGTTAACTTATCTATGAAATTGGGTTAATAATACCTGTCTTAAGGGTTGTTGTGAGGATACAGCTTTGTTCACTGCCTGACACAGTGACATTCAGTACCTGTTTGTTCCATTTCTCCCCTTTTTTCTGATTTTTTCATACTTTGTTCATATTAAGATACTTAAATATATAGAAAGCTGACTAATGTAAAGGGAAGTGATATTAATTTCTGTGTGTTAAATTGTCTTTATATCTAATTTGTTTTTTGTGCCCACCTGGAATAAGTTTTCAGAGGGGTGCAATTAAGAGACTAAATATTGTCAATTATTAAATATTAAACATGATACTGTTTACATTAGACTTTTCCCCTACATTAATCCTCAGCTTCAGACAGGACGGTCTACTCACTGCTATTAAATCCAGCTATTGTATCTTTGTTCAAAATCTTCTCCTTACTATGCTAGTTCTTCCTATTCTGCTTGATCCGTCTCCAGTTTGGGTTGTGTCTTCCTGCCCAAAGAGACCTCTCCCTCCTCTAAATTTCTATAACATTTGTATTTAGCATTAGTTTGGGACTTAAATATTATTTTATATTAGTGTTATATATGTAGATATACACTATATATATACACACTTTGGTTATATGGGGTGTGTGTGTGTGTGAGATTTCCTCAACGTTATCTTTGTCTTTTAGGACCAAGATAATAATGAGGGAAATGATACCTGTGCTACAATTCTGTTTTTGTATTCTTGCAGCAAAATAGGAATACGTGTGGGGCATGCTCAGTAAATAATTCTCTCTCTAGGGCCTGAAGATGACTCTGTAGAACAGTTGGCATACACGTGAACAGCTGTGAACACATATTCACAGGGCACATTTTAAAAGCTGAGGCACAGCAGATCATTTGGCTTTAACACATTTGTTATTTAGTAAATTTTCTCTTCTCTGTTTTTACTGGTATGAGATGTGATTGATGTCCTGGCTTCTTTCCAGGGACACTTGCCGTTTGCTGTGGTAGGAAGTATGGATGAGGTGAAAGTTGGAAATAAGATGGTTAAAGCTCGCCAGTACCCTTGGGGCATCGTACAAGGTAAAGGAGATAAACGAGGATATGTGCGCTGCCTCACAGCCTGAAAGTTGAATTTAATGCGTTCTAGGAGGTGATGCTGATTTGGGGTTATGATTGGCTGTCAGAAGGGTTGGCTCTGTTCTGTTTTAGCCATGTCTGCAGAGGCACAAGGCACAGCCTCCCTACTTCCTGTCTTAGATCATGTTACCTGCCCAGGTGCACCAGGACGTTCAGAAGGCGGGAGGCACTGGTCGGGTACTTTGAACAAAATTTGAGTGTAAATAGTATTGTTTAAACATAGTACGTAAACTAAGTACTAGATAATTCTGTGACACAATAAACCACTTTGTAAATTTATATATTTTTACTCATCAAAGTATTGCCAACTATTTCCCAAACAAACCAGTCAGCCAAGTAATAATTTTTAGCATTTGTCTAACTCTACAATGAGTAAGTAATTAGCACTTGACTGGCTCATTCATTCATGATGCCAACTGATGGGGAATGGATTACCCCTGCTGGTACTGGTTTCCCAGTGCTGCTTTTTTTTGTGTGTGTGTGTGTGGTACGCGGGCCTCTCACTGTTGTGGCCTCTCCCATTGCGGACCACAGGCTCTGGACGCGCAGGCTCAGCGGCCATGGCTCACGGGCCCAGCCGCTCCGCAGCATGTGGGATCTTCCCGGACCGGGGCACGAACCTCTGTCCCCTGCATCGGCAGGCAGACTCTCAACCACTGCGCCACGAGGGAAGCCCCAGTGCTTTTTTTAAGTTGACAAATTTTGTAATTAGTGGAAAATATTGACAAAACTTAACATTTTTAATGTACAGAAAATATAAAGGCAATAATTGTACTTAAAACTATTGATCACAGTAACACATGTGACGCAGAATCACAAATGTGGCATTGTGTGACAAGAATTTGATGTTTACAGCAGGCACAGGTGGTGTTCTCGAGTGTGCAGAATTTACCACCTTGAAGTTTTAGTGAAAAAATATTACATACTCTTTTCAGGCGGTATGTGAAATGTCCTGAGGATGGTTTATAAACTGCTAACAAAATACTAGTGAAATGATTGGAGCATATGGTACAGAATAGAATATATTTCTTTCCTATTTCCTGTTTATCCTTGGCTACTAAATTTAAGCAAACCTCTGTTAATATCGCCTATAATTCGGTGTGTGTAATACAAGAATTGCTTCCTTGGTTACTTGTATGAAACAACCATAGCTGTTAATCAGACTGATCATTTCGCTGTTTGGGTTATTTCAAATGTGTTTTCATTTACTCGTCCATTCAACAAATACTAATTATATGTCAGGATTAAAAATCGGTGTTGCTGTTTTCTGTTTTCCGGCTAGTGGAAAATGAAAACCACTGCGACTTTGTCAAGCTCCGGGAGATGCTCATTTGTACGAACATGGAGGATCTGCGAGACGAGACGCACACGAGGCATTACGAGCTGTACCGGCGCCGCAAACTGGAGGAGATGGGCCTCACAGACACGGGCCCAGAGAACAAGCCGCTCAGGTGAGCAGCCAGGGAGGGAGGTGGGGTGGGCCTCTCCGTCTGCCCAGGATGACAGAGAGTCTCCCACATCGTGAGGTGGCGCCACCTGCTACGATTAATGACTCTGCTCTCCATGCCGCCCTCGGAGGTCTTTGTCCTTACCCGACTCAGGGAGTTCGAGTAGAAGGGAGGACACAGGGCAGAAGCCCAGGATTTCAGCATCCGCTGAAGTGAGTAACCAAAGGAAAAATCTCTCATTATTTGGTTTTATTTTTGTATTTATGTGAAGAAGGTGAAAGAGTATTGATTATTATTTTAAAAACCTGGACTATGAATCATATTAACTACAAAGCTGTTGTTTTTTATCCTGATGAAAGTTTTGGAATGACTAAACTTAGGAAAATATCTTGTAAAGGAAGCACTAGTTACGGGCCAGCTCTGGTAAAGCGATGATTTTCTCTGCTGAAGAGAAAGCATCTAGCATTGGCTTCCCTTCGTGTTTCCCAGGAGGCTTCACTTCTCGCTCTTTCAAGTCTGTGGGTGGTGAGGGGTCCCCACGTGCCTGAAGGAGACGCGGATCCTGAGTGACAGCGGGCGGGGTGGCCTTGCATGCTGGAGGAGAGGGATTCAGGTGCCTGGTGGCTCAGTTATCAGTCACCTGTGGAGGACTCAGAAATGCAGGTTCGCAGTTTCCGGGTATGGAGCCGAAGAATCACATTTAAATGAAAATTCCCACTCAGCCCTTCAGCAGACACTTCCTGCTGGTCACTGGCCAGGTGTGCACCGTGGGTGCAGAGAGGAAGATGCTCTTGCCCTGTGTGGTGATCAGGGTCTGGGGGAGTGAGGAGGCCCGGGCAGGAGGCTGCTGTGGGCATCCAAGTACGAGCAGACAGGGGCCTGTGCTGGCGTGGCAGTGGCGGAGGTGGTGAGAAGCATGGTCACCACATAGGACTGGAAGGTGACGTCAACATGACTCTCTGATGGTCTGGATATGGATGTAAAGGAAAGAGGAAGCCAGGGTGGTGGCTCCATTTACTGTTTTCCACCCGAGAACCTGGGTGAACGGTGGTGATGTTTATTGTTATGAGCAAGACGGGGGAAGGGGTAGACTTCCTGGTGGGTAACTGAGAAGTTTGGGACATGTTACATTTCAGTTGATTATTAAATCTTCAGGTGAAGACTTAGAGTAGGTTATTTCATAAACGAATCTGGAGCTCGGGGAGAAGTGAAGGCTGAGACGATACTTTGGAGTCAGCAGTGAATAATACTGCATCTAGTGTTCGCAGTGCTCTTATTGTTCTGAGCTTTTACTACCTGGGGAAAACAGAGGAGACATATGCAGAGACCTGGAAGGCAGAGAGAGAAAGGCACCTTTAAGTCTCTGCAGGAAGGTCGGAGGAGCAGGGCATCCTGGTGGGGATTTGGTCTTTGTCCTCGGAGAAAGACACAAAGTTTGAAGGAGTGATACCGATACGGTATTTGCACTTAAAAGATCACTCTTGGCTGCAGTGTGAGGGAGGGGTCAGAGGGTGTGCAGAGGTGCTGAGGAGCTAAGTGCCAGCAGCAAACACAGAACTGGGTGTGTTTGAGAGACATCTAGAAGATAAAAGTGAAAGAACTTAGTGACTGTTCAGATGTAATGAGGTAAAGGAGCAGAAGATGCCAAAAGAAGACTTCTGCTGGCCTGGATCAGTGGTTTCTCCAGCTCGGCAGGTAGCTGTACCCTTCACAAGGCAGTGTCTCTGGAGGCGCACTGGCTGCTCTGTGGGGCAGGATGGAGATCGTTAGCTCAGCTGGGACCTGGGGACTTAGAGTTTCCTCTGAAACATCCAAGTGACAGTGTCACATAGGCACTTTGGCTGTTTATCTGGAGCTCAGAGGAGAGAGGAGAGGGCTGGGCCAAAGGGATGAACTTCAGAGTCACAGGCACTAAGAGGTGGTTAATTGAATACTGCGTATGGGTGAGATGCCTGGAGAGAGAAGTACATTTGGAAAGAAAGGTGCCTTGGAAACAGCCTTGAGTCCGTTGAATGTGTGTCAGCAGAAGAAGCAGACAGAAGCGGTTGAGAAGCCTAGGGTAGAGGAAGGAGGAAACCTGCAGGGTCGTGCCTCGGAAGCCAAGTGAAGAGGGTCTCAAGAAGGGAGAGGTGGCCGTGTTGAAAGTGAGAGGGTTTTGCTGTGGAAGTACAGCAGTGTGATACAGTCCAGTTGCTCCCTTGACCGTTCTTTGACAATAACGAGGAACACGCCATCTGAGTCAAAAAGGACAGCACAGGCCAGGGCTTGCAGATTTTTTTTTTTTTTTTTTGCGGTACGCGGGCCTCTCACTGCTGTGGCCTCTCCTGCTGCGGAGCACAGGCTCCGGATGCGCAGGCTCAGCGGCCATGGCTCACGGGCCCAGCCGCTCCGCGGCATGTGGGATCTTCCCGGACTGGGGCACGAACCCACGTCCCCTGCATTGGCAGGCGGACTGTCAACCACTGCGCCACCAGGGAAGCCCAGGGCTTGCAGATTTGAAGGGAGAAAACCAGTTTCATTCATGAACAAACCATTTCCAGCCTTCCTTCCAGGAAGGGGGATGTCCAGTGGGCCCAGCTTAGGACATGTGCCCGTGTTCTGGCTGGGTGGGTGTGAGCCTGACTGCCTGTCCCACCAGAATGCATCCCGTGGGAAGAAGTAGCTCTCCAAAGGTAACCAGAATAATAATACAACAGGAGAGAGAGATGGTGGGCGGGCACTCAGAACAGCCGTTTTTTAGCATTTCCTCAGTTTGGGGAGCGTCTGCCCACTGGACAGGTGAAGAATGGAAAACTGGGAAAGGAGGCTCTTCAGTGGAGGCCAGGTTACAGAGTGGGCAGGAGCAGTGGCTGCAGGTTGCTTGCAGAGGACAAGCAAGAAGGCCGGGGGCTCGAGCTCAGTGTGAGGGAGGCCCTGCCCACCTGCCCGGGAGCTGGTGGCCCTCTACTCTGCCCAGGCCTGCAGTCCTGATGAGATGGGATTCCTTGGGTCAAGCGCAGCAGAATGTTCTCTCCTCTTGGTGCTTTCTCATTTGTGAATAAATTATTTGATAAAATTCCTGTAGTTCTTTACAGCCTGAGGTCTAGGAAGGTTTCACCAGTGTGGTTTTAAGAACTTGTATTCTGTTTTCCTAGGAATCTTCCCATTTAATTTGGGATGTGTACAACAACAGTCACTATAATTTGGTTGGCACGTAAAATCTGTCCCTCAGTATTGTATCTATGAATAAGAACAGTTAGTTACATGAGCCTGTTAGGCTGCGCTCTGCTCTTTATGGCCCGGCCTTTCTCTCTGCAGCCCCGCAGTGTCTCCATCTCTGTTTCACTTGAATGGTTATGCTGAGTCATGGTTTGTGTCCCCGTGTACCCACACCCATCTCATGCTTGTCATGAGGTCCAGGGGGTCGGCATTATATGTACCCCTGTAGTCTTAATTAACTGATGTTTACTTATTTAAACTACATGAAACATGCTTTTATCAACCTCAAATCCCCAAGTTATTTTAGGTGAACAAAACCAGTCTCGTTTACCATCACTGAAGTGCTCTGGGCCCTCAGAGTCTGGAAGGGAGATTTGTGTGGTATTTTAGAGTTTCTTAAGTGTTTGGCATAATTTTTTGTGTCATAAACTTTGTGTCTTTCTGCACTTGGTCTGTGGTGGACGCTCATCAGGCCTGTGAGAGCTGCACCTGGAGCTCAGGGAGGTCCTGAGTGAGGGGGACGCAGCGGTTTTCCTGATGGGCACGAGCAATCAAGGATGCATTTTCTTCCTCTTTCATTTTCAGCTCTGCCTTCAATCAGTGATGTTTGCAACTAGGGTAGGATGCTGCATTAAATATCACGGCAGCAGGAGAGCTCTTTTTCATTCTCAGATCCATGGCAGTCAACAGTGGTTGTATTAGTTTCACAGCCACTCCTTGCAGGCCCTCTCAGAGTTTCATTACCACCTTTTGAAAGACAGTGCGGTCTCTTTCCTTGCAGTTGGCTCTGTGAGTTTACCTGTCACAGTGGGCGTGTGCGATGGATGCAGAACACGCGGGACCAGTGTTTCCTCTTTACCTCTTGCTGAGGCACCACTGTAGGCGGGATTTATGCTGGTTAGGGTTACAGGCTTTGGAGCACGTCTGATCAAGTTCCAGCCCCAGCTTTGTACTTGCTAACTCTGTCCCTCTGTGCAGGTGACTTTACCTCTCCGAGCGTCGTCTTCTTTCCTGAAGGACAGTGTTAGTGCTTTGTTCTGCATGGCGCTGCGGGAATTAGTGAGTCCAGACCAGTCCCTGCTGGTAGCAGCTATTCTGCAAGTGTTTGGTCTTTTCTCTTTGCCAGGTGGCTTGATTTTCCTCCTGAACAACTCAAGTGCTTGTGTAAGTAAATTAGTGAGAACTTTTTAAAACTTTGATTTGACATGATTTAAATACATTATTTAAACTAAGTTTGCCACTAAAGGCTATCAGTCCAGTATAGGACCAGTGAAATGTGGGCGAAGGTGACCTTCTTTAAAATAAGACCAAAACAAACACAGAAAAACAAAAAACCTTATAAAAAGTAAAATGCCTCGAGATTAGAGGCATTTATGTGGTTATCTAGGGCATTCTGTACATTTATGAACTTTGCTCTTAAAGACAATGTGTAGGATTGTTCCTCCTTGGAATACATGCTCTGAGTACCACACACTCATGCTCAGCTGTAAGTGCTATGGTGTAACATTTCTTCCTTTGTTTTTCCTTAAATTTATACAGTTCTAGCCATGAAAGATTTCTCCAGTTATAAGATTAGTAAAATTCCTGAATTTCATCACATTTTAAATCTATTTAGCTATATTTTTATAAGTAACAGAAATTTCTAACTGTGACACAGCTGGAAAGTGAATCTGTGTTCCCTGTTAAACCTTGGGGATATTCTCCAAGTGAGCTGAAATGGAAGGGCCCTGCATTGCCGGATATAAGGTCTGTGGTTCTTCTGAAATGCCACAAGTAAGACAGGCAGGCACTGGCCGTGGCGTTCCAGGACAGTCCCTGCCCTGCTTGGTTAAACTGGCTCTACTTCCCTGCAGTTTCTATCATTAGATGAACATCTATGAAGAAACCGAAACATCTGGAGGGCTCTACTGGATAGCTGGGTTATGGAGATGCTGAGCTGTTAGGAGAGAGAGGCAGGTGGGGTGTAAGTGCCAGGAAGAGGTATAAACAAAGAGCCATGGAAGTGCTTGGGAGGAACAGTGGATTCCAGCTGGGGAGACTGGAGAAGCGAGGGACAGGACTAGTGAGTAGAGGGAGGGCTGGGAAATGGGCAGTGGCTGGAGCATGAAACGTGTGGCATGTCTTAGGAACAAAGGTTAGGTTGGTACAGCTGAAACCTTAGGGGGATTGGGTCTGTTGGGCCAGATTGTGAAGTTTCTGAAGTGCTGCTATCCTGTAGATAATATAACTAATGCAGAGGAAAAAGATAAGGAGATGTCTGTTTTTGGTGGAAAAATCTTAGGAGTGGCAGGAAGGACGAAATGAAAGAAAGAGGAACTAAAAGCCTAGAGCTCAGCTGGGAGATTATTCCAGTAGCGAAGGCAGAAAAGCACAAAGATCAAGTTGGGCTGAACACGGTGTCTGTAGAAATCAAAACAAGACGGGACTGAAGTGATGTCGGGGTCTTAGGCTGAGCCCCCAGAGCCTGGTGATCGGACGTGGCAATGAGGGGAGGGGAGGAACCAACAGAGGTGGAAGGAGGAATCCATCTGGGGTGAGATGAGCACCTCTGGGAGCACCGGCAAAGCAGGGACACGCAGACAGATCCACGCTCCCTGGAGCCACGTGTGCTGTGATGGTCACGGGGCCTAACGCGCATCGAGTGTTCGCAAGTTTGTGATGTAATCTCGCTAACATGAGAGTATACCATAAATAATTTTTCAGTCTTCAGGAGACCTACGAAGCCAAAAGACACGAATTTTATGGTGAACGTCAGAGGAAGGAGGAAGAAATGAAGCAGTTGTTTGTACAGCGTGTGAAGGAGAAAGAAGCTGTATTGAAAGAAGCTGAGAGAGAGGCAAGTGCGCTGGTTTGTTGGGATGTGCACTTATTTGGGGTGTCCTGTTAACCTGGGGATAATTATCTCAAGAATTCCGAGATGGTTTTGAAAACTAGTTGTTCCTTAAAAAGTAGCTATTGTATTTTAACACATACTCTTTGGATGCAGACTTCCAAAAAAAAGCACAGGCTGGAAACAGAAATTTTTGCCTTTTTGAACAAGGTGTCTTCCATTAGAAGTGGTTTATCGAGGACTTGTAAAGGACTAGGTTACTAAGAAGCGTTTGAAATACCTTAACCAGGAGCCAGAAGTGTTTTAGCTGTGGCTTGATAAAGCCTTTTCTGAGAGTTTTGAGTCCTTGGGATTGTTGTTTGAAGTAGGTGACTCTGAGAGCTGTTAACTAGCCTTTGAGTTTGAAGTCAGGCTTCCTGGAGGTGGGTGGTCTGGGCAGCCTGGGCGCAAAACCATCCACAGTGAGTTTGGTTTGCTTCTGGTTCTCCAAGGATCAGTTTTAGTTTTACTTGAGTTAAGGTATTTTCTGTAGACTTTACTGTAATGGCTGCTTTTAAATAAATGGCCACATTTAAGATGAGGGTCAAAAAGGATGAGCTGCACAAAGGAATCTCTAAGAGAAGACAGAAATGTTAATACAAATGAACTTGCTGATGTAAGAGTTCCTGAAGAGTTATTTGTAATTTAATGCTACAAATTTATTATTTTAAGTACCCTTATAGTACTTGCTATTTCAATAAACCCTGTAGTAAGTGGTTTTATAAAATAATCTATCTTGTTTATAATTTGAATTTTGATCTTTATTTTGAAAAAGTTCAAACAATGGGAAAGTGAAAGTACGGGGTACCTGTGTCCCTCCCCAGACCTAGATTTAGGATAGACATTTTGCCGTCTTTAGTGTGTGTGTTTCCCTGGTCGTCTGAAAGCTGGTTGTAGACATCACAACACTTTATCACAGGCACTTTCATGCATCTCTGAAGCTCAGGTGCATTTTCCTCCATAACCACAGTACCAGTACTACACCTAAGAACAGGAATAGCAATGCCACAGACTCTCCTAATCCCCAGTGCACAATCAAATTTCCCCACTCATCCCAAGATTGTCTTTTATTGTTGCTTTCTGTTCGGTGATTTTTTGTTTTTGAACCAGAATTCAATCTTAGGTCTCATTGCATTTGGGTGTTCTGTTTTGTTCAGTCTCTTATTTGAAAACAGTCCCTAGTTTGGAGTTTTTATTTATTTTAAAATATTTATTTATTTATTGGCTGTGTCGGGTCTTAGCTGCGGCACGCAGGATCTTTTGTTGCAGTGCATGCATGGGCTCCTCTCTAGTTGTGGCACACAAGCTCAGTAGTTGTGGCATGCAGGCTTAGTTGCCCCACGCCATGTGGGTTCTTAGTTCCCCAACCAGGGATAGAACCCGCATTCCCTGCATTGGAAGGCAGATTTTTAACCACTGGACCACCAGGGTAGTCCCTGGAGTTATTTTTAAATACAAATATTGAGGAAGGAGTTGTGATGAGTAGGAAATAGGGTGCTGATTTTTCTTTTGATTAGTTGATGCTTCTCTGGTAAGAGTTTCTTTCTCATACATCATGGTTCTCAGTTTCTCCAGTGAGGAGAGAAGATGTAGAGGTGGTTTATAGTTGAATTCTAATTTTTCAAACCCCACATAAGAATATTTTGCTTAAATGCATATTGTTTAAAAGGAAATTGAAAATTCAGGGTGACCAAATGGTTGAAAGAAAAAGAGAAGTATTATTTGTCAGTAGGTGCTTCATAGATGTTTATTTTTGTGATTCAAGCGGTTTCGTGTTAAGAACATTATATTAAAACTAATGAAGTTAGTTTAAACCAAGTTGTCACAAGAGTTCTAAACTTTTAATTACATAGGTTTAGAAGCAGATTACTGGCCTGTTTCATTAATATTACAATAATATTAGTAAGTTCCCTCATGACCAGTTTCATCCTGCAAGGCTGGTACGTTAGAGTCAGGTCTGGTGCAGGGCATCTGGGGGTCATCTTCACTCGCATGAGTGATGATTAACTCAAGAGCCATCAGTTAGGACTTCCCTGGTGGCGCAGTGGTTAAGAATCCACCTGCCAATGCAGGGGACACAGGTTCGAGCCCTGGTCCAGGAAGATCCCACATGCCGCGGAGCAACTAAGCCCGTGTGCCACAACTACTGAGCCTGCACTCTAGAACCCGCGAGCCACAGTTACTGAGCCCGTGCTCTAGAGCCCACAAGCCACAACTACTGAAGCCCGCAGGCCTAGAGCCCGTGCTCCGCAACAAGAAAAGCTACCACAATGAGAAGCCTGTGCACCGCAATGAAGAGTAGCCCCCGCTCACCGCAACTAGAGAAAGCCTGCACAAGGCCACGAAGACCCAACACAGCCAAAAATTTTTTTAAAAATTAAAAAAAAAAGCCATCAGTTGAAGGACCAAGGAGGACCATATAATCTACCGTCAGTGTAAGTGCAGTTTTAGAGGGAAAGGAGGCTTTTTAGTAGTTACACTGGACAATAGGTAGGTGTAAACCAGGTCTCTACTGGGCAAAGTGGGACATTCAAAGCTAGTTACATCAATAAGATACTGGCAGGTAACCCAAAACGTTACTTAAGTCTGTATTAGATGGCCTTGTTATTAAAATATCCTTGGCAATTCACCTTTTGTATGAATTTGGCCGATTTTCATGTATAGTACAGAGTTAGCTGAAAATGCAGTGAACGTCAGGTAACTAGAGTAGGCAGATGCACAGGACAGATATCATGTCAGGATACTGTTTAAATGGCTTCTTTTGTGCATCTTTTGTTAACATCATCCTGGATGCACAGCCCTTCCCCACCACAAGAAAAAGTGCACTTTATATTTATCCCTCAGGTGAAGTGCATGACCAACATTAAAATGTTACTACTTCTGAATTTTATATGCAAGTCTGTTTCTTGGTTAGTTGTTCACTTAGTATTTATGCCTCTCCTGTTTCTAAAAGTATTCTAGATAATTTTCAGTAAACAAGTACAGCTGCACTAGAACCTGGACGTGGGGAGTCCAGGATGAGCAGCGAGGTTTGCACGCAGTGCAGCTGAGCCGCAGCGCTGGGTGCTTGTCAGTGACACTTCCGGGGTCTCCAGCCAAGTACAGAGGTCAAAGACACTGACTAGTTTGGCAAGAGAGGAATGTTGTCTCTGGTATTCACTTTTTAAAATGGATACTTTAAAAAGGATCACTGAGCAACAGCATGTATAGTGTCCTTAGAAGCAGGTTTACAAGAGACAGCAGCGTACCACATTGGCCATAGAGGCTTCAGAGCATCCGTGAGTAGTTTAACAGCACAGAAGAACTTGAAAATGTGTCTGAGTTAAAGGCCTTGTAGTGAATATTGGAGCTGTGAGCGAGCGCTTCCTGCAGGTGGAGCAGACTGTCACTGACGAAAGCCATGAACTCCACAGAATGTGAATAAGTCACATTCCCCCTGACCCCTTTCTAAGACGTTTTTCTCTTCATAGTTTTCCTGGAATTTTTAGTCAACCTCATAAATGATATATGAAGTACTCCATAACCTTTCAGGATATTTAAGGATATAAAGTGTGCACCCTCCGTTTAAGTGTCTGTCAGAGATGTATCTCTGTTCACATAACGTAAATCTGCCCTGTGGCCTCTTTTTCCAGGCGTCACCCGCCAGCTGCCCCGCTCCCCTCCCAAATCCACGGGGTGCACGCATGCTCAGAGAGCTGCCAGTCTGTGTATTCATACCACCGATTTATTTATGTTTCTTTTTATAAAGAACGTGCTTCCTTCCTTTATAAGGAACCACTTACATAAGCAAATACTAAGGAACTGATCCCTCTGGAAATGACATCCTCAGGAATAAGAGAATCTTCGGGCCTTACTTCATCTGTTTCAACCCTATCCTGTAAACTCTGCCATCAGGGTTGCCGGTTCACTCGCCAGCCCGCTCCGTATCTGGAACATCTGATTTTTATTAGGAAGCAGCATAGCTCTCTGCTCTCTCTGCCCTCAGCCTCTGATGAATTTCCTCAGTGATCATAAGCCATCCTTTCTGGAAACCAAGTCCTACTTTCTGTATAAATGTTAGGTTGCTGCCCAGAACTGAAAATACTAATTGAAAATTTATCTAACCAGACCAGAGAACCAAAAACAAAGTTATTTTTTTGATGTAGATTCTAGATGTTGTGCTTGTGTTCTTGGCACCACAGCCGATTCGTAAGGAACCTGCTGAAGTCTCTAGATCTTTTTTCAGATAAACAACAATCAAACCAGGGAATTCTCATGTTGTACTGTTATAAACTTCGGCAAAACTCATTTTAATGACTGCACCGAGTGTATTTAGCATAAGTGAATTTTAAAATGTTCTCTCTCTTAGAGACACAGGTATATTTTCCCAATTATGGTGTAAACCCAGCCAGTGCAGCTGACCCTTGAACCACCTGGGTTTGAGCTGCACGGGCCCATTTATACGTGGATGTTTCTCACTCACCGAGTCCACAGGACTGCACCGGTGCGTCTGTGCTTACGGAGCTGTGACACACGCGAATCTTCAACCAGCGGGGTTTGGCGTCTTCAACCCTGCAAGGTTCAAGGGTCAACTGTATATTTATGTATAAAACTTTAATCTAAATTCAGGACTTTTTGATTTAGTTTAGATTTCAAGAAGGTGAATGACCATGGGAAAAACATAACAGATTTTAAGGTTCTTGATTTAAATTGACACTTGCTTTCCAAACAGGTTCACCAGTATAGTCAACAGCTATTTCACTACCACGTAGTAAACTTATTTGGAAAATAAGGGCTTTTTTCCCTCTTTTTGATAACTTGCTTTTGTAATTTGTCCCTCACTTTTATTAAGAATGGATTTTTGAAACTTTATTTGAAGAGGCTTTGTGGGGAAAATGTAGAGCAAAAGAAAAACTCTAAGAGGTCAAATGTTTAAAAAACTGAGGTTTGTGCATGAGGCTGTTTTTATGTTTTGTTCATGCGTTTTTTGCATGGCAGCTCATTCAGAGTTAAAGTTAGAGCAATTCCACATGTCACTGCAGGCCGCGTGAGCAGGGCTGCAGTGGGGAGGTGCCGGGGCATGGGCTGCCCCAGCACGTCCCTCAGCGGGAACCGTACTTCACTTCATAGCTCCAGGCCAAGTTTGAGCACCTTAAGAGAGTACACCAAGAGGAGAAGCTGAGGCTTGAGGAGAAGAGAAGACTTCTGGAAGAAGAAATAATCGCCTTCTCTAAGAAGAAAGCTACCTCCGAGATATACCAAAGCCAGCCCTTTATGACCCCGGGTGGTAACGTGCGGAAGGACAAGGACCGCAAGAAGTAAGCGCCCCCCACCCCACGCCTGTCTCACTGCCCCGACCTTCAGGGCGCTTCACCCTTACTCCCATCTGCTCCTGCAGCTAAAGCATCAGTTCCTTGAGAGCAGAGAGCTCGTCCCTCTTGCTGTGCTGATTCCCCAGCAGCTAGAAGGGCACCTGGCACGTCTTCCGTGCTCTGTGCATCCTTGAGTGAAAGTCTGAAGTGAATGAACGAAATAAAAATCTGCTACAACACGTAAGGGTCAGCGACCTTGGGACACTGGCTGCTCCAGGGCACGTCTAGTAACTGCTGACCACCCCTCCCCCCGTTAGTTATGTCACATTTCATGCCTGACAGAGGCTGTATATTGGGGAATCATAGACATAATAGTTGATTTAAAAAAAGTAATTCTTAGGTTTACTTTTTTAAAACAAATTCTGATAATGATTTTATGAGAACTCTTATTTTAATAAGGGAACCAGGCTATCGATTGGAACTCCTGTGCTTTGATGTCAGAGCTTGTGAAACGAGTGGTGGACGTAAAGATACAGAGGAAGGTAGAGAGGGCCCCCGTGCATCGGGGCGGCCTTGGTAGCAGGTGGGGGATGGTCCCAAGGCTTGTAGGTCTGGGGTATGTGTTAAAGACAACGTAACCGAAGTCTTAGAAAACAAGGGTTTTTTTCTTCCTTTTTTTCATTTATTTCTCCCACTTAAATGTCCTCATCACTTTGCCTGTTTGCTCGCTCTGTTGAGCACCCAGCCCCCTCCACGTGGGGAGCTCAGGTTCTCCCGTGCCCCAAAGGGCAGCCCTCAGGTTTATGGCCACATCATATTTCAGACTGGTCACCTTCAGAAAGGTAGGAGAACATAACATTGCCCATGATGATAGCTTTCCATTTTTGAACTATGGAGAAGTAAATCCACACGGTTTTGGGTGCATTTAATTGGCCTCTGGATTTTATGGTTTTGGGGAAGAAGGAATTCTCATGTATGATCTTTTCACATAAGCTCTTCCAGGGAGTGGATCTCTGTTTTGTCCGTTGATGTATCCACCCCCAGAGCCTAGAAAAAAATGAATACACTGAAGTTCAAAATGTTAACCACCCTCGTCATCTGTGGAGGGGACTGGTTCCAGGATGCCCCGAGGACACCAAAATCCACAGATGCTCAAGTCCCTCATATACAATGGCACAATTTTCGCAAAGAACTTATGCACATTTTCCTGTATACTTTAAATCATCTACAGATTACTTATAACACCTAATACAATGTAAATAGAATGGAAATGCTAGGTATATAGTTGCCAGCAAGTGGCAAATTCAAGTTTTGTTTTTTGGAACTTTCTGTTATTTTTTCCCAAATATTGTATTTTCGATCCTCAGTCAGGTGAATCCTCAGATGTGGAACCCTCGGATCCATAGGACCAAAGTGTATAAATATAATTTATAACTTCTTTTCAGTGTGCCTCGAATTATAAAGCTAAGGGGTCTTTTATCTTATCATCATCTCAACTTAGTCCAGTGTTACTAGATTTGGACTCCCCTGACTTTATTCCATACGCGAAAAACCATTTACAATCACCTTGCGGAAGTAAGGTATGGGCTGTTTGCAAAATCAGGGCCAAGCCCATAGTTCGAGAGCTCAGAAAAATTTCCCCTCAAGAAATTTTGGTGTTTGTTTTTTCTTTTCTTTTCCAGAGTCCCATGGCTAGATATCCTATCATATCCTCGATGTACATCTGCTCTTTCTGTAAAAGCTTTGTAAAACAAGTGATTTTTATTCCTATATAGTTTTCTGTTGTACCAATCAAAAGGTTTTTTTTCTCTTTCCAGCTCCAGTTTTATGTAAAACAAAGGTTCCAGATCACAGAAGATCATCACAAGCAAAGTTATTAAACTGTGAGAAGTATGCTTTGATTTTCTTGCTGTTTTTATTTGCTGTATCACTTACGCTGTATCACTTACTCTGTATCTGGCAAAAGGCCACAGTTGAAGTATGAGGTCAGTACATAAGCCAGACTGGATGACGTTACTCACGCACTGTTAGAAGTTTAAGTTGTTGGTTTGTGATGAACCGAGATCATTTCTCCTGCTGCCCAGTGCTTGCTGTCACTTTGCTGTGACAAGAGTGTCGGTGCCTTTGAAAGTACAGGACTCGTTTATATTGCGGCTCTGATTGCATACATATTCCAAGATGAACCTTTTGTGTACATACTAAAGGTAAACTTTTGGGAATATGTTTTAAAACGTATTATGTACCTGAAACTCTAAGCTCAATAGTTCTATAGAACTTTAAAATTTTTCATACAATTATCCAATTGGTAACATGATCCTAAGCTTTTGCATCAAATTACATAATATGTGCTTCAGTGTTGTGGTCCATGGGTTGTTGTGATGAAACAACATGTTTAAAGCAGAAACACTCAGGTAAATAAGCCCTTTTCTGGTGATAAGCACCTTTGGAACTGGGTGTAATATGTTGAAAGCAGAAACACTCAGGTAAATAAGCCCTTTTCTGGTGATAAGTACCTTTGGAACTGGGTGTCTTCACACTGTTTGCATGAGTCTGTATTACATACTTGTTGCAAACTGTCTTCCAGGGAAAATAAATAATAAAGTTGAATCATCTTATTAAAAATATTTCTTAAAAAAGTTACTATGAACATCTGAATATTAAAGATAAAAATTTAGATAATTCGTACTGTAAAGGATATTTGAATTCAGTGCCTCAGTATTTGCAGAACGATTTAATGGCTTCTAACTTTTTCTTAACAGTCATAAGTTTTCATTTTTTGTACTTGAATATTCTAAATGAAACTGACATTTACACCTGACAAATAAAATGTATCTACATCTTCACTAAACTGCATTTAAATTACTGTAACTCTTTTTGCAAACCATGATCTTAAACATCTTACCAGAACTATGAGAATTTAATTATATGTTTGAATTATTTTAAGACAGAGGTATATTAGCAGTATTTTTCAGATAACAGAATGTTTTACTTAGCCCATGTCAGATTCTGAGCAGTGTATTTTTTTCATGAATTTGCGTTAAGTTGCAAATAAAACCTTTCATTTTGTAGCACAGCTTATCAGGACCAACACTTTAAATTCCATTTTTGCATTTCTGCAGTTTAGTAAAGTAAGTTACAAGCATCACAGGAAAAGCTCTGCACTTTCTTCTCAGGATCAGTAATGCCCAGCCTCTGGAAGGTGGGAGCGGGAGAGTCGGTGAGTCCCTGAGGTCAGGTAGCCTGGCCTCCCAAGCCCGGTCAGTGCTGCAGCGCTGAGCCTTAGCCCAGGAGCTTCGCGGCGAGCTCCGTGATGTGCTGCGAGTGGTGGCTGTTTGTAGCCTGTTACATCAAGCTGTGTACAAACAGCTATCCTGAACTTTCATAAAGTTACTTTTAAATGCCAGAGTGGTTGCTGGCATGTTAAAACAGTTATTCAATTCCTAGTTGAAAAGGTCACGGAAACCTACCTCAGACCCGGAGCTGAACAGAAGGGCCGTCACCTTGGGCTGCTAGTGACTCTGCTGTGAGGAAGACTTGCCACACGTGCACGCCCACAGTGTGAATCCTGAATTCACTTCATGTATCTGGGATTCCACATAAGATTGTATTTTAGAAGAGTTGCACTGCAAAGAACAAAAATGTTTTTAAACAATTACAGTACAGGCGGACCTTGGAGATAGTGCGGGCTCAGGTCCAGACCACCCAATGAAGCGAGTATCAAAATAAAGTCAGTCACGTGAATGTTGGCTTCCCAGTGCATATAAAGGTTATGTTTATACTGTGCTTTAGTCTGCCAGGTGTGCGACAGCTTATGTCTAAAGAACAGTGCACATACCTTAGTTAATAATTGCTAAAAGAAGGCTAACCGTCCCAAGCCTTCAGCGAGCAGCAAGCCGTGGTAGTAACATTAAGATCACCGATCACAGATCACCGTAACGAATATAATGATGAGGCAGTTTGAAATACTCTGAGAATTACCAAAACATGACACAGACATGAAGTGAGCAAATGCTGTTGGGAAAATGGCGCCAATCAGCACAGGATATGCAAATACAGTGAGATCGGCCTGGATAACGCTCAGCTTCTCCTAATGAAGCTTATTAATTCTCCAGGGTCACAGAGTGAGGTATTATCCACTGACGCTTAAGTCAAATTTCCTGGAAACAAAATAAAGCTAGACATGTTTTATTTTTTTTCCATAAAGCATGTAAAACAAGAATTGCCTTTCACCGCCAACCATTAATCTTTGTACCGACGACTCTGAATTTTTAAGCTCTTTCATACAGACTATGATTTCAGCTTCCAAGCACTATCGGGATGAGTACTATCCCCATTTTGAAGATGAACTCATTTTAGGCCCCATTTTCCCGTTTGGCCAGGAAATGGGAGCACAAACTGATGAGGCCCCTGTGGAGCGGCCTGAGAAGGGCTCCTGCCCCTGGCCGTGGAGCGCAGGGAACCAAGGGGGTGGGTGTGACTGGGCCTTGAAGGACTGAAGCAGCTTCAGAAGCAGGAGGGGACGAGGGCCACCCAGATACTTGGGACAGCAGGCTCCCGACGAAGCCTGTGCCCTCGGGGAGCGGAGAGGATCAGTGAACAGAGAGGACCGGGAAGACGGAGGCAGGGAACAGACAAGGGGTTCATAAGCCTAGCGCAGCGAGCAGGCGGAAGTCTGACTCACAGGCCAGATGCTCACGGAGCAGAGGGAGAGGTGTGTTGCAGGGGAGAAGCCAGGCCAGGGGCAGGCGGACTTGGACTCAAGTCCAGGCCAGGAGTCCTCCTACTGCATGTGCAGGAGGATAACTAGGTCATGTTTCAAAAATACTGACACACAAAGGAATACGTTGTGTAAAACCATGAAAATGTCCTGTCGTGCTAGAAATATAGAGGGAACAAAAATTCAAGACTGCAGGGACATGTTAAGTTGGGAGAGTGGGACGCATGCAGTGAGGAAGTTCTTGCATTAACTGGGAAGAGGATAAAAGTCCTGTCAGCCGGGTAACGTGAGACTCAGGAAGGACCACGTACGCGTGGGAACACACGTGCCTTTCAAGCCAGTAGAAGGAAAACTGGTCTCATAAGTGATAATCCAAAAGGAAGCAAGGACATAAAGGAAATAAAACAGGTGCGACAGCTAAAAAGCATTTAGTAATATGGTAGATTTAGACCCAAATAAATCAGTAATCACATGCTCTAATTTTTCTAGATAGAAGTTTTTAAAAACCAGCTGCGTCACTTTACAAGAGTGAGCCAAAGCTTTCTGTCCTGATAGGAAAAGGTACATCGTGTACACTGAGCCAAAAGCTGACGTGTAGCTACGTTTTCGGCAAAAGGCAGCGTTAGGGAAGAAGACGGCCCTGCTGGGGGGCGGCCTGGCCTCCGAGGCAGGAGGGCATCTGGCAGCTGGCGCAGGTCCCCAGACCCACGGCGTGAGGGGGCTGCGTGGCCACCGACGTTTGTAAAGCACGTGCAAGTGGCCACGTCAGCAACCTCTTCCTCTCTGTACAGTAAGCCGGTCTTTTTTCTTAAAGGCTGAAAGTTAAAAGGCAAGAGCGGGGAATGAAAAAAGAGTGTCACTACAGATCCTGGGCCATTAAAGTGTCTTTGATAAATTAGAAAATACAGAAGTATCAACAGAAAATAATTTAAACAGTTAATTTACTGATACAAGAGATACAAAATTTCTTAATAAAAGACAATTTATAATTAAAATACCCCTACAGTTTGGGCCGCGAATCCTCTCAGGTGTCTCAAGAGGAAAGGCATTTGACCAGCTCTCCCGTGGTAGGTGGGACACTGCCGCCACCCCAGAGATGCCCACGCCCTCGGGCCAGGCGAGTGTGCTTCCTCACCTGGCAGCAGGCTGCAGAGAGCCTGAGACCGGGAGGTGGTCCTGGGTGGTCTCAGGGGGCCCGCTGGAGGGACGTGTGGCCGGCGAAGCAGGGTCGGAGGGGCAGCACTGCTGGTTGCGATGCGGAAGAGTCCCTAAGCCTTGGAACGTGGGCGCTTCCAGGGGCTGGAAACGGCAGACAGGGATTCTCCCCTGGAGGCTCCAGAGGTGCACAGCTGTGCCTGACACTTAGATTTTAGTCCGGTTCTGACTACCAACATCGTAAGATAAATAAATTTGTACTGTTTAAAGCCACTATATTTGTGGTAATTTGTTACAGCAGCAATAGGAAACAAATACATTCCCTAAAAATGGATAAAAGAAACATCCCAAATTCATTTTACAAGGCCAACATGGCTTTCATTTCAAAGCCTAATAAAGACATTCTGAGAAAGGACAATTATAGTCTGATCTCATACATAAACAAACATGCAAAAATCCTAAACAAATTACTAACAAACTGAATCCAGGGACATATATTTAAAAAGATAGTTCCTCATATCCAGGAAGGCAAAGACGTTTTAACATTAGAAAATTAACCAGTGTAGCTCACAGCATGAATATTAAAAGAAAAATCACACGGTCATCCCTGCAGCATCATAAAATACCGATAAAATTTAGCATCTTTGAGATACAAGAAAACAAAAGACTCGTAGAATATCAAATAGAAGGAAACTTCCTTAACTTGATAAAGGGTATCTGCAAACAGTAACCAGTGCAGGCATCACACTTACGATGAAACACTGAAAGCACCTTTAAGGTTGGGGGCAATCGTCCCCTTCCATTAGACATGTCACCGGAGCAGGCAGCCCTCTCAGGAGGCAAAAAATAAAGACAGGCTGGGCCTCAGTCCTCACAGGTGACACGGCTGTGTATGCAGCGAGTCCACATGCAGCTGTGGCCAGAGCCCTGGGATCAGGAGTCCACAGAGTCGTGGCACAACTGCCCACCGGTGACGCAAGGGGGTTGGCCACCGGGCAGGCTCGAGTGTCGAGTGTCTCACTGAGCAAAGAGCAAAGAATCTCGGCCCCGGAAGGTGTGTCCTGGGCTCTGTCCCGCCTGCCCCCTCCGGCCTCAACCACTGCCCTTTTGTTAACTGGCTTGTGCTCAGGCTCTGCTGCCCCCAGGCCTGTCTAACTGTGGTTTGGGGTCAAGGTCAAGGTCCTCCACAAGGCCCACTCACTCTCAGGTGCCTGCACGTGGCCTGTGCCTCAGTGAGGGAGGCCCAAGCAGCCTTTGCTTAAATTCCTGCCTCTGTGGAAACCATCGCTTGTGTGGACAGAGCCACTGCAAGCCGTGGTCACCCATGAGGTCAAAGCTGCGTGGCCCCAAACCTCCAGTTCTCCTGCCCAGGCCCCCGGGAGGAGACAACCGCACAAGTAAACCACCCCAGGGCACCGGCCCTGACACGGCGGCCTCAGGTCCCAACGGTGGTGGTTCCAGGTCAGGAGTGGTGACCTGGGAGCCCGGGGGGAGGCCGAGCGCCTGGTCCCACAAAGCCTCGCCCTGGCTCACTTGGTGAGCACCGTCCTTGGTGCCCTTTCTCCACGTTCATGACAGCTGCCCCGAGGGTCAGCTTCCTCCCCCGAAGTTCTGGAGAAACAAAGTGAAAATGCAGCTGCTGGAGGATGAGTGCCGCTTTACTGCTGACAAAGGCTACTCAGTGTGGGACCCAAGGGGGCTGTGGGACGAAACCCAGAACTAGGGCACTGGCCCTGCTCAGGCAGAACTGCACCCAGACGGCCTGACAGGAAACAGAAACACCTGCTCCGTGACGGTCAAGGGCAGGGCCATGTCCAGCTGCTCCTCCTGGGGTCGCCCACTCCGGCGGCTTCTGAGGCTCCTGGGAGCCCTCCGACGCCCCTCGGGCTCCCATGTGAACCCTGGGGAGCAGGCAGGCGGTGCTGCTGCCCAAGCGGACCAGGAAGAGGGTGAGGCCCAGAGGAGAGCGGCCGGAGTCGGAGGCTGCCCTGCCTCCCGGTGAGGCCAGCCCGGCTGGGGGAGCCCTGGAGTCCCTGAGTCTTTCCAAGCAAGAGGGAAGCCATTCGTCCACAACACTTGGCTATGAGCGCCTGGCAGGTCAGCACAGGCTGGTGCCCAGAAAGCGCGTCTGCAGCTACTGGGGCGCTGACCTCCGGCATCAGGAAGCCGCTTGGCAGGCCCGGGCGAGACGACATAAGGGGAAGGCGGCCAGCCTCCGCAGCAATGCCTGGAGTGCTCGCCGGGGCCGCCCGATTCCTTATTTACCCTCTTTATTCCCCATTTCCCTGCCGAGTCGTTAATCTCAGCGTTTAAGGTGTTACTCCACGTGGGAAAAATACTAGCTTTAAAACGAGATGCTTATAGAAGGAAACATCTTGCAGACTCCAGAGAGTCTGAATGACGGTGTTACCCAGTCCAAGCTCGTCCTGCTCTCCACACGACTGGTCAATAAACTGAGAGGCGAGCTGCTGGGGCAAAGAATAGCGGCTTTGTTTGGAAAGCCAGCAGACCAAGACGGCGGGCCCGTGGCCCAAAGAACCCACTTGCTGAATTAGATTCAGGCTCCTTTTATACTAAAAGGGGCGGGACTAAAGCCAAGCACTTCCTGGTTCCCGTCGGCCTCCGGAGGGGAGGTGTTAATTTCTCCCTCCTGCTGTCATTCACAGGTGGGCCTGCTCAGGAGGTTTCCTGGGAGCTAAACACAGGTATTTTAGCTGAATGCTCATTACCTGGGAGGCAGGGGTCCCAGAGATGGGCCGTTATGGAGAATTTAAGCTTATAGGCAGCATCCCTTTAGTGATTAACTGGTAACAGGATACAAAGGTTCTTCCCGATTACAAGAGAAACTAGGTCAACAATGAACAAACACATCTTATCAAGAACAATGCAAACCAAGAGACAATATCTTTTCAAATGCTGAATGAAAAAAAGTCAACCTAGAATTCCATGCCAGTGAAAATATCTTTCAAAAATATGGGCAAAATAAAGACATTAAGACAAACAACAGCTGAAAAACTCCACTGCTAGCACACTTCGATTACATAAAATGTTAAAGAAGTGCTTCAGGCAGAAGAAAAATGAAACCTAAAGGAAATTCAAATCTACACAAAGTAACTGGAAAGAGTAAACACATAACATAAAAGACTGTTTTTCTCCAGTTTAAAAATTGCCTTGGGATTTCCCTGGAGGCACAGTGGTTAAGAATCCACCTGCCAATGCAGGGGACACGAGTTCGAGCCCTGGTCCTGGAAGATCCTGCCTGTCGCAGAGCAACTAAGCCCGTGTGCCACAACTACTGAGCCTGAGAGCCTAGAGCCTGAGCTCCACAACAAGAGAAGCCACCGCAATGAGAAGCACGTGCACCGCAACGAAGAGTAGCCCCCACTCGCCACAATTAGAGAAAGCCAGCACGCAGCAACAAAGACCCAACGCAGCCAAAAATAAATAAATAAATTTATTTTTTAAAATTGCTTTAATATTATACTACTATATATAAAACAGATAACCCAAAAGGACCTACTGTATAGCACAGGGAACTATACTCAATATTTTGTAATATAAAGAGAAAGAATCTGAAAAAAATAGATATAATTGTATGTGTAACTGAATCACTTTGCTGTACACTTGAAACTAACACAACACTGTAAATCAACTATACTCCAATAAAAAATTTCTTTTAAATTGTTTTAAGATAATCAACTGTTTAAAGCAAAATCAAAATAAACTGTGGGCCTCTGTAACAGATGATAAGGAGCAGGGCCCTGTGGGCTCCTGGGCACAAAAGCCTTTCTGTGTCCCCCATTCATTTCTTGATTACAGGAAATGGGCATCATTCAGCCTCCAGGACCTTCCCTTAGTTCCAACGAGCAGGTTCAAACAGTTACTAATCAGGGAAGGGAGGGGATGCACAGACCAGGGAGGAACAGTCAGGACACAACAGCGCAGCCTTGGAGCAGGTCCTGGTTCCCCCTTGAGGGATGCACACAACAATATCCTTGAGCTGTTTTGCAGACTCTGAAACCCCCTCCAGGTGGGAGAAGTTAACTGTCTGCTGCTCACAAGCGTGGAGACCCCAGACCGGTTGGAACCAGAAGGTTGATGATGCTGACTCCCGATTACCTCACCGCCAACCAATCAGAAGAGTGTCCACGAGCTGATCACGCCCTCTTTGAACCATTACTATGAAACTCCTCACGACCCTCTCGAAAGGGAGCACAGTTCTTGAGGCCCTGGCCAGCTGTGTTCCCTCTTTGCCTGGCAAAGAATAAAGCTATTCTTTCCCTTCCTCCAAAACTCTGTCTCTGTATTTCTGTTCAGCATTGGTGCACACAGAGCCAAGATTTTCGGTGCAAACATAGAAGTAAAATGTATGAAAACAGTGGCACAAAGGCTGAGGAGGGTGGAATCAGTGTATTCGAATGATAAGTGCTCACAAAATATGTGAAGAGGCATAATGTGTGTCTTTAACATTGTGATAACATCAATGACAACTAAACACACAGACTTCAAACTCTAGATCAATCACAACATTTTAAAACAACGTATGCCTCGAGTCAAAAAAGGAAATAAAATGGAAACATAAAAAATACTAAATTAATCCAAAGGAGTCAGGAAAAGAGGGAGAATAAAGAAATAATGAAAGGATGAAACAACAAAAATAGCAAAAGTGTAGATTGAAACCCAATCACATCACTGTGAATGGTCAGAACACTCCAATGTTAACAGGCCGAGACTGGCAGGTTGGATTTTACAAGTAAGATACAGCTATCTGAAACACTATTTTACTAAAACACTAGACTAAAAGGATAGAAAAAACATATGAGAATAGGAATGAGACAAAAGCTAAAGTGGCAGCATAACTAAGACAAAGTCAATTCAGAACAAGGAACTGCACCAGGGAGAAAAGGGGTCATTTTCTAAATGATAAAGGGGCCAATTCACCACGAGAACCTATCCATCTTACGTGTGTTTGCACCTAATAACCGAGTCAAAATACATGACGCAAAAAACCGATGGAACTAAAGAGACTTGCAGATACCACAGACGTTAAAAGGACAAATCCACCGTTGTGAACGGAAACTTCAACTATGTTCTCTCTGTAACTGACAGAACAAGTCCAAAGAAGATCTATAAAGATATAGAAGGCTTAAGCAACACTATCAATCAATTTGATCTAATTGACACATAGAGATCACAGCCAACCCACAGCAGCAGGACACACGTTCTTTTCAAGTGTACACAGAACATTCACCAACACAGAACATATTTTGGACCATAAAACCAGCCTCAAT